ATTTTCCGACAATTTTTTTTTTTTTTTTTAAATTCATCGTCCATTCGGTTAGCTTATTTATCTTTTTTTTTTGATTATTATCTACGATCCGTCTTTGATTGATAAATTTAGTTCGTCTTCAAATAATCCTACCTAAAAAGATTCATAAAATTCATTTAAAGTCTTTTCATGCCAACTAACAGCAATTTTCGTAGACTTTACATTAATAAAAGAAAATTATAACATCATTTTGTTTTTGATTAAATGCATCGCGTGCTTTTCCCTCACTTTTTCCCACGTGATTTTGATCATTTTTGAAACGATTTCGACACAATCGTTTGGACATTTTTTTTGTGACAAACAAGAGATTGTCCGCACAATGGATTTTATAATAAACTTTCGTCAAACTTATTTTTATCAGAGCTGGAGTATTGGTGGCATACAAGACACTATTTTTTTCGGAAGAAAATGAAAATACAAAGTGAAATAACGATTATCATGTAAATATTTTGATGATTCGTCGTAAAAAGGCAAAGAGGTCTTGCATCCACGTTTCGATTAAAAATTAACTACATTAGTTAATTAACTTGATAATATGTCCAGTCCATCGAAAGGCACAATTTTGATAACCAATCGAAACGTTAACGATTAGATAAAGATACCGTTTTTAATATTAAATGTTTTTTTTTTCTTCTTAATCCTTTACTACTTTTTTTGCACGCACTCGTTTTATAATCCACATTTCCCTTATAGTTATCGCGCACGAGATGCCTGAGTTATTACGTTCTTTTTTGACGAACGATATTTTTGTTGTTGTTATCACTATCGTCCGCGGAAAAGTAAAAGGAACACGTATAACAATTCGCACTCACAAATTATTCGTCACTTATTAAAATACGATAATCTCTCACCTCGCGTACTTTCTTTGAGTTAATTAATTGATAAATTTTTCCCCGCCTTCCAAATACTTGCGCGCAGTTGAGAAAAGAGCTTTTGGCTGTGGATATTTTTGTTCGTCCTAAACCATACACTCCCCCTTTATTATAAACGATTGATTGTTATTTGTTTGGCATTTTTAAAATTGATTCAATGATTGTATAAATACGTATGGAGACACATCGATGATTTTGGTTTATGAATTTCTCACGTACGACTTGTTAATTTTTTCGTTGAAACAGCTCTTTTCTCACCAACGTGTTGTGAGCAATCGACTGCAATAACATTTAGATTTACAATATCGTAGACTAAGTATCCATCTACAGATTTTCTTTGAAGAATCGCAAGTTTACCGTTAAAATTTGAATAAAAAATGTTGAAATTTATAATCGAATAAATGATTTTTTCCGCCCTCGGGTGGTTTTGGGAGGCTGTTACTTCCTCGGGCGAAAAAGCAGTTTTCTGGAACTCGTTCGAAAAGTCTCCTTTACGAACCTCGTTACGTCCCTCGCCTTCGGCTCGGGCCGCAAACCTCTCGGTTCGCAAACAGAGACTTTTC